TTTAATTGACTTAATCAAGAACCTGTGAAAATAAAAGTCAATGCCCCGAGACTTGTTAAATTTTCTGGTGTCACGTGAGCATCTGTGTAAAAAAATACACTGTGACTTTACTCAGTTTTCTATTTTCTCACTCTACCTCGTGCCCACAAATCTTGCACCCAATATTTTATGTGTTTTTCTTCCAATTTTGAACTTTATTGTTTATACCAGATACTAGATTTAGGTCATGTAGGGGTGTCATTTCAATTCTTTTTTAATCAATAATTGGGGGAAAAAACAGTGTTCCAACTTCTAACCATAAGCATTACTTTGTGCTAGTTTCATATTTTTTATGCAACAAAACCAATGTTAATTATGAGTACTCATGTGTCTCAATCTCATTCTCATTCATCAACACTACACAATGGAACTAAATTTTTGTAATAAAACATTTAACCATTAGTAGCGACCAAACATACATTTACTTTAACCAAAATGCACACTTGTCATACTTTTGTTTATATTGCTTATGACATTTCAGTTTGAAAGTATGCATTTCTTCTAAAAAAAAGTTAGTATCGCGTCTAACCATTAAATCTGCCTAACAGCAACATTATATGACACCTTAATTAATATCCTTTGTGTAGGTCACATGGGTCGAACACGCGGAATACGACGAGAGCCAAGTCCACCACCTCTACCGCCCGTCCATCGCCGCCGGCCTCGGCTTCGGTGCTCGCCGGTGGGTCGCCACTCTCCAACGCCAATGCGAGTGCCTCGCCATCCTCATGTCCTCCTCCACCGCCTCCCGAGACCATTCGGGTAATTAAAAATTAACCCTAAACCCAATTAAAATAAAATAAAAAATCTTCAATATAATACCATGTCACTAAAAAATATATGTACTATCATGACCTCAGCAATCACAGCTGGCGGCCGACGGAGCATGTTGAAGCTGGCACAGCGTATGACCAACAACTTTTGCGCGGGAGTTTGCGCCTCGACCGTGCACGAGTGGAGCAAGTTGAGCTCGGGAAATGTTGACGAGGATGTCCGAGTGATGACCCGGAAGTCCATGGACGACCCTGGGGAGCCGCCAGGGGTTGTGTTGAGCGCGGCCACGTCCGTGTGGCTTCCGGTGTGCCCCCAACGGCTGTTTGACTTTCTAAGAAACGAGCATTTGAGGAGCGAGTGGGACATACTCTCCAATGGGGGGCCCATGCAGGAGATGGCCCACATAGCCAAGGGTCAGGATCAGGGGAACTGCGTTTCCCTCCTCCGTGCCGGCGTAAGTCATTCGCGTTTTTCGTATTTTTGTACGTATGTATGATTTTATGTTTGATTAAATTCTGTATGGTTGACTAATGGTTAGACAGTCATACTCTTGAAAAAGATAAAAGATAAGATGCTTTCAATCACACTCTAATAAACAATAAACAAAAGTATAACATTTTATATCATAATTATGAATTTTGTTAAGAATAATATAACGAGTTGACATTGCTCAATGGATAGTTAACCCCATACAAGAATTTGTGTAACTGTATATATCCATGTATTTTTACCTATTGGTATTTACATATTATGATCTATATATAGGATGTGATAGGATGTGGTTCAAATGAGAACCAAGTCATTTAATTGTACGCAGTGTTATAATTGATTGTGTTTTAGAATGTATTTTATTAAAATTAGCAATACATTTTATATTAGTATCTGTGAAAATGATAGCACCATGGGATATAAAAAATAGCATCATACACAATTAAAAATAGCATCAAATATGGTTCTCTCACACGACTAGTTTTTATTTGAACCAATCCATATATGTGTGTGTGTGTATATATATATATTCTATTTATTGTATTGCTTTGAAATGATGAGGTGAAAACTGTTTAATATGTCAAGAAAAATTAAATTCATTTAGGGCTTGTGATAATATTAATTTTCTCTAGTCGATGAGGGCAGGGGTAGTAAAGGTAAATGGACGCATGTGGCCTTCACCTCATCTGATCCAAAATGGACAAAAGATGGGAATTTGGAGCCATTCATAAAGATTATGATTTATGATCCATTCTGGCCTGTTGTGAATTTTTTTTTTTACCAAAGTCAAACGCCTGGTACTGTCAGAAAAAGAAAAGGGGTTTTTTACAAGTCAGCTCCTAGGGCCCAAGGTTGCTAATTTCGTGTAAAAAAGTCAACGCAACTGGGTTGAATATCACCAAGTGAAATCTTCAATTAATTTTCATTTAATTCAACTTTTTTGTACTGGACAAGAGAGGGGGGCTAATTCGGTAATTTGTTCGACAGGCGATGAACTCTAGCCAGAACAGCATGCTGATACTGCAGGAGACGTGCACGGACTCGTCCGGTTCGCTCGTGGTTTACGCCCCCGTCGACGTCCCTGCCATGCATGTGGTGATGAACGGTGGGGACTCCGCCTACGTGGCGCTTCTCCCCTCTGGATTTGCGATCTCGCCAGACGGGCCCAACAGCCGGGATGGGCCTGGCGGGTCGCTGCTGACGGTGGCCTTCCAGATATTGGTGAACAGCCTGCCCACGGCCAAGCTCACGGTGGAGTCCGTGGAGACCGTCAACAACCTCATCTCGTGCACCGTCCAGAAAATCAAGGCCGCCCTTCAATGAAGAAGGCGGCTGATCGGTGGGGCCCACCTATTTTTATTTTATTTTATTTTTGCTTCTTCATGTTGCTATTTTTGGAGTTTGGTGATGAATTTAGGATCACATTTGACATGGCTAGGGTATCCCTTGTT